TGTTTCTTTATGCTATATTCCTGTTGAAAATGTGGAACATTTTTGAGGATTTTGAAGGTTTTGAACTGATGTGTGCATTTAACCTTATTCTAAATGTTCTTTCCATCTTGATAGACAAGTAATATAATGCTTAGACTATATTTTTTAAGCAAAAATGTAACATTTATATTAGTTTGATTTCAACTGGGGGGAAAAAACATTTAGAAAATTATATTAAGCCCCAACTGAAATACTTTATTACACAAATTAATCAAATTTGTTAATTTAAGAGCATTTTCCTCGTATGGATTATTTTAGTATCGCTATTCATTATTTATTCCAGTTTATTCTTCAGTGACTGTTTTTCTCCTTTGTGTGATTTAGTTTCTTTTTCATCACCGTGCAACTGCAATTAAGTGATAGCTCGTTTAATCCAAACTGTTATTTAGCTTTTTCTTTTATTTATTCCTAATGTCGGAAATTAACAAGGCAAGAATCTGTTCTAGAGTTGATTTTCTTTTGTCCCAGATGGTACGTATGCTATCAAACCTTTAAATAAACTGTATTAAATCTTAGACGGAAACAAGGGAAAAAACAATAACCTTAAAATGCTTTTTTTTTTTCTTCATAGCACCAAAAAGTTTTAAGTTTTTAAACTTAAACTTTAAGAAAAAACATAACTGAGCAGCACTGGAAGGTGACCTACACACTCCTCGACAACATTTCAGTTTTGGTTTAATTTATTCCACTCACTGCGTCCATTCGCTCATTGTTCTATTGTTTCCAGTAGATTACTTTCATCTCAAACCCTCTGCTTTTCTGCTATAAACAGTTAAATCAGTATTCATTTTTTGCTGAAAGGTGAAGTGAACTGGCAGGACTTTTATCTGAAATGAGCTATAAATAACTAATTGAGAGGATAAAAAGAAAGCTGTAATGTAGTGGAGGAGTGAAAGACGGAGAAACAAAGACGAAGGAGAGGGACTTAAAATAGATCAGTTATGGGTGGTCCAAATATTTGGTTAGCTGAAAGCCTCTTGGCAGAAAAAGGAGAGGGAAAAAAAAAACAATCAAAGACAGAGCAAAGCTTTATTGCATGTTGAGCGTCAAAGTGAGAATAAAACAGATATTTTTCCAGCAGAGAAAAAACCACATCAGATCACCTGATGAAACTATATAAACATTCTATGTTTGTGAACGGCAATCATTGTTGTGAGTGAAAAGTGTGGAACGTGACTTAATAGTGTTTTTTTAGTTTGAGGGGAAGCATCTAGAACTATGCCTCAATCTAAGAATTTATCCTTTTATACTACTGAACATTAACACATTCAGAAAGCATCTTGAAAGACATTTAAAGTCAACAGCAGCTTGCTAAATGGCAAGAGTTTTAAGGGGCTTCACACATATGCAGTAAATAAAACGACCAGGATGGAGAGGTTGATGTTTATGAGCTCATTACAGAGGTAAGAATCCATAAATGGCCGTCACACCTAAACTGATTTATTTTCATGTTGCCACGTAAAAATATGGCTAAACTGCTTTGATCCAAAAGGAACATCTTGTGTTGAGTTCCAACCAAGATTGTCACACATACATGATGAATTTGATAACATGTATATGTTATTACACATGTACATTGTGCTGATTGTCCTCTATCTGGCAAAGTGAATATATTTTGCCATGCCCACATAAATACAACATGTGAGAGTGCTGTAGTGACGTAGGGGTTAAGCCCAACCCACATATGGAGGGCTTAGTCTTCGACGTCTGTCGCAGGTTCGATTCCTGACCTGGTGACCTTTGCCACATGTCTTGCCCCTTCTCTCATTACCCACTTTCCTGTCTATTCGCCATCAAATAAAGGTCACTACAGCCAATAAAACCTTTAAGAAATAGAAAAAGCAACAAAGTCTTATTTGTAAAAAAGAAGACTTTGTTGCTGTTGGCAAAGAACAACAGCCACGCCTCTTAATAAAAATAAAAAAACACACACATATACACAAAAAAAATCCAAATTTCAATACCAAACATCACACGCAAAGTCCAATGTCTGGCCCATTTTCCCAAAATGGCCGACTTTCTGATTCATTTCCAGGACAATACTTTGCATCAAACTGCACAGCACTACATGTACATTTTATTGTTAGCTCTTTGTGAAACTGGTCTAATGTGCTGAACATCAGGGGGCGTTGTGGTGGCATTTCTTTGAAAGCATGTTCACAAGCTTTCAATCAAAACCCTTTTTGCAGGTTAAACATGTAAATTTTTTGAACACTGCAAACTACAACTAAATTTGATGATCAGTTCACCAATTTTAATGGGTTTGTGCATCGTGTTTTGTGGGCAGGGCTAATAAATGAGAATGTGATGCATTATTATGCAAACAGAGATAAAATTTATCAATGTAAAATATGCTGATTGGGGATCTTATAGCTACTATAGATTCCTTTCATAAAAAATATATTTGTTACACATTTGTTAAAACTGTCTACAGTGAAAGTGTAACAATTTGAGAAAACAAAATCAAGCACGTTCACTTCCTCTCAATGCTCCTATTTCTATCTGTAGAAATATAATGTTCTTGGTCAGAAACAACCAATAACAGCGAGGTCGAAGATCTTAAAACAGTCAATCAAACCTGTGTATTTGCTGCTCAATGTGCTAAAGATGGAGAAGCAGCTAACAGTTATTAGAACGCCGTCATTTGTGGACATGCTAACTAGCATTAGCATTTACAAAAGTCTCCTCTGTGAGAAAGAAGCTGTAGCACAGCAGAGAACAAGGGTTAGGTTGAGAGCACCTCATACACACGCTTTATTGACAGTGCTAAGACCCTCCTCCTGGCTCTGACTGGTTGTTTCTGACTAGGAGCGGCATATTTCTGCAAATGGCAGTTGTACCACAAAGAAGAGCTGGATTTTTTAAATAAATTATTGGTCTCATATTATACTGCCATGACACAGCGAAAGTTATAATACATAAAAACAATTTTTATAAAAGCTACTTACTGTAGCTTTAAGAAAATAATCTATTATAAAGCTTCACTCCTGCATGTACAACAAACAGACCTCCTGTCCTTTCTTTAAAATTTGATGTTGTAAAACCCAATGATATAGATAAACAAAGATTGCATTCAAAGCTTTGCAATGAAGCCACTTCAAGCACAAGATTTCAAAGCTCAGGCTTAAAATGAGAATCAAATGGAAAAAAGGAAATAGAAAAATAAAGAGGCTATAGCTGGTAAGGATAAGAGCGAGTGAGATGGAACTCCTCTTCAAACACAAAAAGTTAAGCTCAACACGACTTACTGGTGATTATATAGTGCCTGCATTAGAAACTGGGGTTCAGAGGTATTTGTCTTTAGCTGCGGCTCAACTTTCCCGTCTCTAGTGTAATAAGCACAAGCAGGCACACTCTCTATTACTCTCTCTTACACGGAAATCAGTATGCATGGACAATCACGGCTCTGACCCCTGCAACTATCTTATCTTCATCTCTGAGGACAGATAATCCACATAAGTCCTTCAACAAATACATACATCCCATTCCTGATGCGCATGGCACTCTTGCACCAGAACGCAGCACAGGAATTCTTTAAAGGGCCGGCTTATCGGGCGCAATGCTGAGAAAAGTCGCCGAACAAGTTCACCTTAGCTGTCTGTTCTCCTACTTTTCTGTTCAGATTAAATTGAGTGAAATTGCTTTTTGCTCCCAAGCCTGCGATTGGGGTTTGATCACCGAGCAATCTGTGGAATTAAGTCTCTTGTTTGCAAATGCACCAATGTGACAACTTTGCTTGTAAGTAATTTCCTGCTAAAATCAACAGGAAATAGAACTGGGGTCGAGTACATTAATTTCATAGTAATCAATGCAATACATTTAGCCTAAACTGGATGATTTTTGTGAAAATAAAATAAAAACAGAAACATTTGTAATTTGCGGAAGCCTTAGCAATTTGCATAAGCTCCTTAAGTATGTTTTTGGATTTATTAAGCTCTGATCCGTGGCGTTTTGTGTTCCCAGTTTGCAGTAGCTAAAATTGTCTTGTCAAAGGGTGAAATATTTCATGGCGAATTTAAATGATAAGGAATTAGACGACGTACATCAAAATGAGGATGATTTGGATTTGTGTGGAAAGCTATGCAAGCTGACCTGGGCCTAAGTGAAAAACTACATGTCTGGGTTGCTACAAATTTTTAATTTCAAGATTCCCCCTTTCCAGACTCGACTTTATAGGTTTTCTTTCTGCATTTTCTTTTATCATCATGAGAAGTAGAGGACAAAGGATTCGCCTTAAACAATTATTACCCTGTGCATGACAGGGTCACACTGACCTCGCATGCAGTTTTAGGTATTAAAGCAAGAAGATCAAAACAGCATCTCACTTTGATGTTTGAGTAAGCCACACCAAAACCTTAATTTTTCTAACTGTTAGATAACTTAAGTGTACTTAAGCTCAAGGTGACAAACTGATGGCCATTCATTCACCATCATGGTTTTTAAATGGAGTGTTTCAACAGCCTGAACGTCTTTATTAGCATACACAATATTTTCTCAAAGTCTTCAAGTTTCACTTGTCGGTAGTTTCTCCATTTGTGGATAAAGGTTCTCACTATGGTTCAAATGACTCAAAAGCATTAGAAATGGTTACGTAACAAGATCCAGACTAACTGTTGATAGTTTGGTTTGGTTTCTCATCTGTTTTTCTCAGTTCTTAGGCATCATGTGTTGCTTCTTTAGATCTTTTTGTCTACTTTGTGTTGTCAAACTGTTTCTATCTCTTGGATAGTTTTTCTTTCCCCTTTAATAAATGAGTTGAAAATATGTGAAAATTATTTTATGATGTTAAATGGTTAAACACAACTAAAAAGAAAAATCAGTACAAATGTCAAAGCTGATAGACAATGCCGTAAAAAATTCTATTTGTAAAGAATCACCATCACAAAACTCAAATTAGTTTGGACTTAAAATAAAAAAAATCACCAGAAAACTGGGAACTTTGATAGGTTTTCTCTTCTGACCTGCCACTGGTGTTGCGGAGGATCACTAGGGCATCAGGGAAGCCGTCCAGGTTGTAGTCACCGAGATGCAGGATCAGAGGATAGTTGGTATTTCCTGGTACAAAGCCCCAAACGGTGTCCCTTTGCTTGAAATCAAACAGGATTGGCACCCACTAGAAAAACAAAAACATACAGACAATTTAATATCTTGATGAGTCTTTCAAATGAGATTTGGATCTAACATATACATAAAAACAATCATAATATTGGGATAATGTGAACTTTATGATTTTTAATCTCACACTTTTAACTTTTCAACTCCAAGTGGCTGTGTTGTAATCCTTGCTCTGTGCTTTTTGTTGACAATCACCAAGTAATCATACAGGTAAAACAATTATTAATTATCTAGATATTTTTGATCACTTTCATTTCAATAAGGCTCTGCAAAGTGACTTGTGAAAGTTAAACAATCAGTTAAAGGGGCAGTATTGTGTGGTTTATAATTTTATAGCACAAGCAAGAAACTGTGTTACCTTCAGTTGTTAATGCAAAAATCATTAAACAACAGCTAATTGAAACTGTGCCTCTGTCTCTTTAAGAAACTCCTACTCTTTCTAAAACTCAGTCTACGGGAAGTCATCACAACTTTCTGTTGTGGCTCCTCTATTAACCCTTTCACAATGATTTTACCAACAAATTAGCATGGTTATTTATTTTTTGCAAATTGTTTACACAAAAAGTATAGTACATATTTCATGTCAATAGACAATTCATAAAGTACTTCTAATTGAGAAACTGTAGAAAAGCATAAGTGCATCACGTTGAAGTGAATGGGATGATTTGCTTGTTGCTAATAACTGAAAATATTAAAATACAAGACAACAGAAAAATAAATTATGGATATTATGATCTCTTATAAGAAATACCTCAACAAATCTTGTTCCTTGGTCAAAAGCCAAAAAAAATCTATTCATTTCAACTTAAAGAGCAATATAGACTCAACAAAATAATAAAAAAAAGTTTTATTTGCTCTACTCTAGTAAAAATGCATTTTCATCACTGCATTCTGTTTGTATGCAGTAATCTCAAAGAGACACAGAAGCAAGAAGCTACAAATGTGAACTATTCATGAATGTTAAACAGGGAAAGCAGGTGCAGGAGAGTCACCAGAGACACTCAGCAGAACTGCCACTAACAGCTCTTAATAAGATACCATCAAGGGAAGGAAATGTAAAAATAAAAAAAAAACTCAACAAAGAGAATGATGTCACCCTGCAGGGCTCATAATTACATCTGTGTAAACTGCAAAGATGCAGCTACAGATGGAGAATTGTCCTGTTTATAGGGCAGCGAGGAAACAGGTGGAGTAATGTTAATCCAAATGTCAGCAGATTGTCATCGTTGAGTCATCAGCCTTTTCCAATGGTGCAAATTGGGGGACCTAATTATTAATATTCATGCTGAAATAAAGCCTTAAAATATGATTTAATTAAAACTTCTAATAAAAATATTCATAAAAATTGAGCCATCACTTTTACATTTTCTACATTTTTATTTCTCGATTTCTGTTCCATAATGCATTATGACAGTGCCCTAAAAATGACTTTTTTTTGCACTATTTTTCCAGGTGACAAATTATGCTCTTAGTTGGGGTGTAATGGTACATATACAAATGCTGAATCATAACAGTAAACATTCACAAGTAGATGCATTCAGGTGACAGAACATATCACAGTGATAACAGCTTTCACCCAGGAGAGCCTCGACTGAAAATGAAAACAAAGACACTTTCTAAGCCTGTCAAAAGTAAAAAGTATTTACATTCTCTCTCATATTAATTCTCTCTTACTTAGGAAATAGACAATGATTTTAAAACAGGCACATTTTATAGAAATCAATCAAGTTTATCACTATTCAGCAACAAAGCAGTTCAAAGTGCTTTGCATCATAAAAACACAAAAAAGTCAAAAAGATATTCAATAGTCAACAATTGAGAAACAAGTAAACATTAGATTTTGCTGAGGGCTTTGTCAAAATCATTGATGTCAATCAAATATCTGGAGTAAATGTTAATTTGTTTAATTTGTTTTTCAGGTTGATTTTTTTCTAAACCCAATATTAAGTATTTCTGGATTCTTCTCTGGTTGTTCCAAACTGAGATCTCCAAACCAAAACCAAGGTACACGGCAAAGAGTACTGCTGCACCGACACAATGCATCTTCGATTCACTGCTGAGTCATTACTCTTTTCATTAAAGTTACAATCTCATAAAAACAAGGCCTAGTTTTGCTTAAAATCATTGAATAGCATATTTATTAGCCCTCAAAGACAGTTACTTTAGAGCCATAATTGGAGGTGCAATTGAGCTATAGAGGAATGAACAAGTCACTTCCAAGCTGGATATTTTTTCTAGATGGAACTCTAATGAAATGCTGCTCTGTCAGGCTCTCATTAAGTGACCACTGAGTAATGCTGCAATGTGGTTTAAAGAGCTGCCTGTATGCCAGATGAACATAATGCTCAGCAATGATTACTGCTATAGCAGATAGAAGTGCTTGAGCTGACCGTGCTGCAGATGCTGCCAGAGAGAAGAAAAGAGCGAGTGGGAGAGCTTTCAGGTTGCTGCCAGTCTATTTGTTGGCAGAAGATGCAATGCTCATTCCGGATGGACATATTATTACGGTTTCTCCCACGCATATTCATAAATTTCCGAAGGTAAATCAATTAAAACTGGCAGTGAAAACGAGAAGATGCCAGTTATTTTTATGTCGCAGTTCAGGCCGACTGATTCAAAGCAGTAACGAGAAGATGGAAGAGGAAAAAAAACGAGTGAAAAAAGATGGATGCGTATTAAGCTTCCAATAAATATATGGCTCCATTCCAGTTGTTGACTTAACTGGAAGCTCAGCTGATAGTGACACATTACCTTCATAATGCAAATTAGAATTATTTGGATTATGTGTCCACTAAGGAAATGGGAGTACTTTTCTCTGCTCTAACATCGAGTATAAACGTTAACATACAAGGTCAAGAAGAAAAAGCCCTATGATTTAAAGACTGAACACAAAAGAAAATGATAAAAGATCTGATTCCCAGCATGCCAAAAGTAATACAACTGAGATACACAACAGCACACATCATGCTCACAGAAAACCAACAGAAAACTGAGCTAATCAAGAGAAATCTGGTAAAATGATAAAAACCTTATAACCTTTTAGTGCTACTTTTAGTAGAAATACCTTGAAGTAACAGCTGACATAACCGACACACACAGAGAGGTGAAAGATAAATTAATTCACAAATGAACTTAATGTATTTTAATGACAGGAAGTAACTACAGAGCATTTGAAAAAAGGACATGGAAATGCACAGAAAACTAAGAAACTCACTGAAATCTGTCAGATTTAGGAAAGCATTCCTGCTGCTATGTGTAAATCAATATCAGTTTTTGGTGCAACTTAATTAGTGTTTATGACGGTTGTGGAGGAATCTTATCCCACCTTCTTTGCTTCAGAACATCAGCTTTAGGAGGCGGTAGAAATTAATCTGAACAGACACAGCTCTAAAGAGATTCTTAGCAATTTATATAAAGATTACATTAAATGTTGTCATTTACAGGTAAATCAGTTTTAAGTACTTCTGACACCTTACCTTTGCTATAAAACAGAATAATCCTTCTTGTAATAAACAATTAAAAAATCATGTTCTTGAATGTGTTGATATTAATTAAATACATAAGATTTTAACATGTTAAAAGTTTTGATGTAATTAGCTTTTTTAATGCAGAGTTTCTGGTATGGCTATAAATCTGATTCAGAAGCAGCATCTGCAAACAACAAGCCTAAAACAGCATCTTAATGCTGGACATGTAGCAGCAGCAGAGACGTCCCCAACACTAATGTCTGTTTTCTCAGTCCACATTTGTAAAGAAGGAATGTTTTTGTTGTTTTTTCCGAAGAACTTCCATGAATGATTAGGGCTTTCTGAGAACACTTCACAGTTTGCATTAATCTCATGATTGAATAACCAATATAGACACACAAACAATTATTAGCTGATGGGCTCATATGTCTACCTGTCCAAAAATTTAGCACCAAAAAGACTTTTCAGATTGAAAACATTGTTTTTGATTAAAATGTGACTAACTGTAAGGAATTACAGACCATACATTTCACTCAAAGAAAAGCTTTGTTATCTATGTGCAACTGCACCTAATTTTAAAAGTTGACTTTAATATGTCCATATGTCTAAAATTTTATCAGGACCTATTGTGTTGAATTTGTTTTTTTTTTCCCACAAAAGTCCTAAAGGCAAAAAATACATCAGGCCATAGCTTTACCTTGGAGTCCTTTGGTCTGCTCTCACTTGTGTTATGACATTCCCTCTCAGGGGAACATGAGGCCTGTGCCGGCCAGGCCTTATCAGCAGACCACTGTGCCGATGTAGGCCCTGAGGCAATCAGGGTACTATCTGTTTCTTTTTTCCCCCTCAACACTGATTAGAAGAGGAGAGAGGAAAAGCCCAGAGAATATCAACCAGATCTAGTCAATACTGCAGAAAATGTACACACACACATGCACATGCACACCAACTGAGCATTTAACATGTATCAGGGTGAGAGGGCTTCATTTGAAGGTACTAAAGCATTAAAGCTGTCGATTGATTAAATTAGAGATGGCATTTTGCTCTCTGGGTAAATATCCATGACCTTTGCTGTAATGGTTGGAAGGACAGCAAGGTATATGGAGAAAATTGATAAAACTAAGAATGAAAAAGATGAAAGATCAGAAATTAAAGATGATAAAGATCAAAACTTTATAGACACGTGTTAATCAAGCATAAAATTATGACCTCCAGCATCGATTGGACCGAAGTCAAACTGCTGTTTCCATACAGATCCTTCACTGTCCACAAAACATCCCAAGGTGTTTGGTCATGTTTGGTTTACAGCAGTAAAAAATACAATAATGGTGCAGAAGAATGACCATTACGATTTCACAAGTTCAGAGGAGGAGGAAATAATAATTGGCAGAGTCAAAAATCTAATTTTAGTTTTGGACAGTATCAAGAAAACAAACAAAAAGAGAACGGAAGGCATTGGTGAAATCTTTGGCTGCTGCATCGGCTCAAAACTGAGCAGAGGGAGTTTAATAATTCAGCTCTCAGAAAATCC